GAGCCCCAACAGGTACCCAATATAAAAAAAATATATGAAAAAAGTACACCATCTTCATAGACTATGTGACATTAAGTCAATGTGAAACTCATGATGGGATTAATCTGCAGTTGAATTACCATTGGTTTCTTCTCTTCTTTGTTATCCTGTACTCACCCCATATTATCGAAAGAATTGTCTCTCCCGGTCCCTTCCGTTATATTCACCATGAAGAATGCACTGTGTTTTATTTGTTAAAACACAATTTTTACTGAAATACTCAATTTAAGCTATGTGTTGTAAGTGCTAACTTGCTAACCCAATTTATGATCAATAAATTAGTAATTTTGCTTAATATGAGGTTTTGATTTTATGGTTTAATAATGACATTTACATTTTAATTATAGAGTTTTTTGCCCTGCCAGCTGAGTCTTGTGGTGTGACTATACCTGCTACTTCCGCAAAAAGTTGGTATAAGTCAAAAGGAAAACTGTTTTTATTTTAAACTGAACTAAACTAGACTAGATTTGTGTGAGCTTTTTTCTCTCAGGGTGGAATAGGTGAGTAGGTCATCTATTGCCCACTGACCATTTTTTGAGAAATCCTTTCTTTAAAATGTATTTATTATGACCCCTGCTCTTTATTCTTCATTAATACAAAATAGGAAAAGGAAAAAAGATTAACTTCAATTGATGTAAAGCTAAATTTTCTCACTTCCAATTTTTTAAAATCCATTTATATAATAATCTAATTCTGCTGACTCACAATTGGCATTTAAAAAGTTATATTATCTAGCCATTAGGTAGCACATTGCAGCACATTAATAGGCAACATGGCTGAAATTCTGCTGTCCTGAAAAATGTTTTATTTTCAGTCGAAGTTCAGCTGAATTTTTTTTTTAGGCATGCATAAGTCTATTATTAAGAAATCCTATACAAATCTTGTATTTACATATTACTTGTCATTCCATTGTCACTCAACCAACATTTTCAACATACACTTTGATTTAAAGGGAACCTCCAGACCCCTAAAGCACTTTAGTTTGCTCAAAATATTTATTTGTGAAGAGTGTGTCCTCTTTATTTTCCTTTTGGAAATAGTAAAGATTTCAATCAAAATTTACATGTTTATAAATTGTACTGGCTACACCCTGCTAGCTTTTCAAGTAGACAACAGGCCCTCTTACTTCCTGGTTTTGTTAGCTCAGTGGATCAAAACTGAAGAGGTAGCAAGTGCCCGGAGAACCTGCCTTGCAAAGATTCATTGAACTGCATTGGGAAGTATGTGATTGCACAGTCACAAAAAGTTTGGGCTAGGTTAGAGGAGGAGGGCTTGTAAGGGCTGCAGGTTTTGCAAGCTTTTAGGTATAACTCCAATGGAAAAATGCATAATAGGGGCGTGTCCTAGAGGCGCATGTGGGAGGACGTGCGGGATGAGAGCTCTCCCGAGAAAGGCTTTTACAGCTTGGTAAAGCCTGCAAATCAACCCGAAAACGACTCAATAACTGAGGGGAACTATCATATAACGGCATGGCAACGAAAACAGCAAAAAAACTTAAACAGAAAACTCTGAACTCACATTTTGAAGTGCATCAAACATCGGAACACGGAGATCAAGATGGCGCCGATAGGCCTGGATCTCCGGCGCAAACTCCGACACGGGTGATAACGTCTCGGATCAAACCAAGCAATCTAACCAGGCAACAGAGCTCTCCATGAGAATAATAATGCAGGAGCTGAAAACCTCCCTTAAAGCAGACCTCCAACAAATGACGGTGGAAATAGAAGCCGACATCCATAACATTGGTGAAAGAACCGCAAAGCTAAAAGAGCACACTGACGAACTCATAGATGCTCACAATCCTGTAGCTGATGCCCACTCCTCACTTAAGCTCAAATTGCAATCACTGGAGGAGAGGGTGGCAGATCACAAAGACAGAAGCAGGAGGAACAATGTCTGCATCAGAGGAATCCCTGAAGCAATACAGAACTCAGATCTGCCTAGGTATGTGCAGGACTTATTCAAAACACTCATACCCTCCTTAAACAACCTGGACCTAACACTTGACAGAACATACAGACTCCCTAAACCTAAACACCTAACACCGGATGCGACAAGAGACGTAATGACCAGAATCCACTTTTACAACATAAAAGACCAAATTATGCAAGCCTCTAGAACTCTGAAAAAATGGGCTGAACCCTACCAAAATATCAAAATCTTCACAGATCTTTCCTCCGCCACCATGCTTAAGCGGCATACTTTCGCACCCATAACGGAAGCACTGAGGAATGCTAACATCCCATATAAATGGGGCTTCCCCACCAAGCTGCTTGTAAAATGAAATGGAGTGGAGAAGCCTATCACCGACCTAGCAGAGGGAAAACGACTACTGCACGAATGGCAGGCAACTACTACCACCAATAAAACGTTAAAATCTCTGGTTAAAGACTGGTCACAGGCCCGCAAGACACACCGCCCCTCAGTGAACTATGGTACCCCCATCACCTGAAAACACCACGTCGCTTAGAGGCCGGAGTTACCATATTGTGGTCGCGACTTTCCGATATGATGTAATGTATTGGTTACATAATGTTCCAGCCACATGTTAGTTATACCTAGTTATGGTTATTTTATACAAGAATACCACCTGACCCCTTTAAGGCTAATTTAACGACCAACTACTTAGCTGTTCCGGGCGAGCCACTGCCCGCTTAATACACACTTTCCACATATCGCCAGAATGCTAGATCATGCAATCTTGATACAAACAACAAAATGAGTCACCCCCAAGGCCCACAGGTGGCCATAATTACCCGTTGCTATAGGCAGTTTGATGTCACCCTCCGTGACATATGGAATGTTGTAAATAGTTTATTCCCAGTTCTCCCTACCCTCAACAAAATGAGTGTGCTTGACGCAGACCATAGGTTTGCCGTGAGGGTTATGCTGCTACCAGTGGTGGTGAAATGGGACCGAATAATAGCTTTTTGGTTGAGGTCCCGAATAGGGCTCGGAAAGACAGAGAGCCAGTACACAAACATAAGCATACGTATTTACTCCAATGACAATTAAAATTTTATCCCTAAACGCCAAGGGGCTCAAATCTCAGAATAAACGGAGACTGGCCATAAGTGAAGCCAAAAAATGAGAACCCTGATAGCGTTCTATCAAGAAACCCATTTCACATGGAATTGTAGACCACGATTTAACTCTAAGGACTACCCCCATAATTTCCATACTTGTTATACAGCTAAGAAACGAGGTGTTTCAATATTAATAAGCAAAGATGCAGCATTTTCATTGATACGCATGATTGGTGACAAAAGGGGACGCTATTTTTTGTCTGCAATGTCTTATCAACAATAACCCCTATACTCTGATTAATGTGTACAGCCCTAATGATAATCAACACGATTTCCTAGTTACTACCCGGACTAACTAACGATGACAAAGAATTTCTACAAAGCCCATTCACTCTAGAGGAACTAACCAACACCATATCCCACCTCCCAGCTCATAAATCACCGGGACCCGATGGTCTCCCCAACACTTACTTTCAAACCTTTTCCTCTATTATCTCACCACACCTCTTGGAGGTCCTTAATACGAGTGCTAAGAGAGGCGCTCTCCCGGAGGAGATGTTATTGGCCCATATCTCAACCCTCCCAAAACCGGGGAAATCCCGACACAATGTAAGAATTTTAGACCTATCTCCTTACTCAAAATCTACGCAAACCTCCTTAGTAATAGACTGACACCACTCCTCCATAAACTTATAAACAATGACCAATCAGGCTTCGTGAAAGGACGTCAAGGTTCAGACAATACTAGCAAAATTCTAAACATAACCTCTACCCTACACAAACACGGATTGGAGGGCCTGTTCTTGGTGCTGGACTCCGAGAAGGCCTTCGATCGACTAAATTGGACATACGTGACCGAAGTGCTGAAAAAATTCAATTTCCCTGAAAGCATAATAAAAAGCATTATGGCCCTGTATAGTGCTCCAGCAGCTAGGGTGTCACATAATGGATTTATGTCCCAACCATTCACGATCACAAATGGAACCAGACAGGGGTGTCCGCTCTCACCCCTTCTCTACATATTATCACTAGAGCACCTAGCACACAAAATCCGTGGACACCCTGACATTCATGGTATCGATATACATGGTAGAACATATAGCCTAGCACTCTTTGCTGATGATATATTCATAACCCTATCTAAACCACAACAATCCTTGCCTCCCCTAATGACCCTACTGCAAAGATTTGGGGAAGTTTCTCACTACCGCTTAAATCAGGATAAAACCCAAGCGCTACCCATGGGCCTACCAAAGCTGACTGTGGACTCCCTACGTGATAATTTCCACCTTGATTGGATCAACATCTATCACATATTTAGGGGTACAAATAACGTCATCAATAAGCACAACAACTACACTCAACTACAACTCCCTCGTCTTGTTATGTAAAACTGAAATGAATAAATGGAAACATGTCATGCTCTCATGGATGGGGAAAATTAATGCATATAAAATGATGATCCTCCACCGAATCCTCTACTTTTTCAGAATGCTGCCCTTAAAACTTCCCAACCAATACTGTAAAGACCTACAGAAACTCTGTAGTACATTCATCTGGGCGGGTAAAAAACCTAGAGTGGGAGGGGTGGGCCTACCAAATATCGGACAGTACTACAGAGCAGCAGCATTAACAAATGGAGTTCTCCTCCATGCCCAGCCCAACCGCCTACAGTGGACAGACATGGAGAAAGCGCAATGCCCAGACCAACCAATTATAGACTATATGTGGACACCACGACAGTTTAGGAAACAAAAGCTCACACTCTTCCCGACCACATCACACACCGTGGAAATATAGGACAAGTTATTTTCATGTATAGGCCACAAAGAAACGTTCCACCCATGAGCACCCATCTCGACCATTAAAGCTGTGTCACAAGAAATCTCATTAGCAATCTGGTCCACAGCAGGGATCACCCACATATCCCAGCTGATGAGGAACAAAGAAATGATCCCCTTCCCCAAACTACAGACCCAATGGCAGTTACCAAACCGGGCCATCTTTTCATACTTACAACTGAAGAGCATCCTCACAGCATACACACCACGCAGCTCTACTACACCCGACCCTAAATGGGTTGCCCCTTACCAACTCCTAGACAGGTGTTGGTCTACACCGACAAAACCAAAAACACTGGCACTATGCTATAAAGTATGGCAAGAGATCACCCCCACTGTACCCCAATCATACAAGGCCCAATGGGAAGCAGACTGTAATGAGACACTAACGGATGAAAATTGGTTACATGCTTTGAACGGGCTCTCTAAGTGGACCCGTTGTTTCTCACACATCGAAGCGCACAGAAAACTTATGTACCATTGGTACATGACCCCCAGCGTCTACAGTGAATATTCCCTAACACCTCACCTACCTGTTGGAGATGTGGTACTGCCCTGGGTACCCTAAAACATATTTGGTGGTCCTGTGAGGATATCCTACCCTTAGGACCCTAACTCGTACCATATTAGACATGCTGGCCATCCCAGACTTTCCCTTAACCCCCACTGTATGCCTACTATTACTACTACCTGCACAGCTAAGCTCAGGCGAAAAACAGATTACAGTGTTAACACTAATGGCGGCAAGAAACCTCCTGGCAGAAGGGTGGAAATCCCACAATTGCCCATCCATGACGCAACTACTTGATAAGCTGAACCAATTCTACACCTATGAAAAATTATCCCTACCTTCAGCACAATCCAAACAAAAATTTGAAACCACATGGCAGGTGTGGGAGAGTGAGTACCGAAAGCACTCATAGGACTTAAGTTTCATAGACCACCTTCTAGGGAGCCGTAATCCCTCACAAAAACACACCACACCATACACTCCAAGACCGCACAGACCCTACTTAACCACCTGCCTTAAGTTACACTCAATGATTCCCACTATACACCCCCTTCCACAACACCCTGACTATTCCCAGTTTTAGCTTCCACTTTGTACATAGCTCAAATTACTCGGTGGGATCCCGATTGCATCAACGGGACATCTATTTCGATGTCTTCCCATGTGGAGCAGAGTAACATGCAAATTGAGATTTGACAGGCACCGCATCCTGCTGATTATATAACATGGAACTATGTTTGCTGATGTCTATTGGATACCTTATTTAAAGCTACATTCTGTACGATACATTGTGCCCACTATCAAAAATAGATGTTTCTCACGTTTGTCAGATGTATCCTGCTAATAATAATGTGAAACATGCAAAACAATGTTACCCCCTCTTCCTTTCTGTATCCCTTTTACCTTGCAAAACCAATAAAAACTAAATTTGAAAAAATGCATAATAAAATGCATGCAAGTTTTCATTTGGAGTATATATACTAAACAGTGATTTATTTATTTATTTGGTATTTGGGCAGTGGAGTGTCCCTTTAACAGAATCTGTTGCTGTTTCCTTCATTCAATATCAACTAAACATTTAAAAATGAAAGACAAATTAAACACTTAAATAAAATAAATACATGTGTCACTCGGTGTAACAATTATTAAATGATATTGCTTAAAGATTTAAACATTATTGTGTTTAACTATATACTCCCTTCCATTTTGCGACTCTTTGGTTAAAGAGATGCTATGTTCTATGTACTGACTTATTATCCAGAAAACGATAGCCAGGTAAGAGCTGATTAGAATGCTTCAATGTCTTTTAATACCATATTGTTTCACCTAAAACATTAGTCAATAAACAGTGTGGTACAAATGATTTAATTTATTAAGCTTAGCATGTCTACATTCTATAGTGCTAATCAGTCATTGCCTTCTAAAATCGCTCATGCTTAATGCAATGATTTAAGTATTCCTACAGAGAATTTGAGTCATCACAAAGTCATTAAATACTGTAAAAAATGAAAATGACTATTACACAGCAGTCAACACTATTAACTGTTAGTTAAAACAACATTTAATTTAGCTAGACAGACACATTTCTGCAGTTTACTTAGTACAAAAATAATGAGAATTCTAATGTTAGTGTCACTTGGCAACAATGCAATACTGCAATGAATATGTACGTGCGGAGATTAACTCACATTCTACATATGCAAGTGACCACATGCACACGTAGTGTATTTGTGAAGATATACAATATCTATGTAAGCCGTATCCCACACATCTGTTTTTGGTTGCTTATATATTGTAAAGGTCGTCTTCTCTGGGTAGCGATCTTGGGAGGCTGTACTGTAACTTTAAGTTAAGTATTTTTATACTTTACATTTCACTACACCTATTTACCACTGTGGTGTTTATATTGTGTTGTTTTGCGAAATATCTATGTTTTATCTGCCTGCCTATTTAAATATAGTTAAACATTGTAAAAATTCCATGAAAAATAAACAAATTCATACTTCGAAATAACATGTTATAATATACATCCTGTTGTTAAAAATGAAGGTGACAATTGTTTTTTTTTGTGGTTTGGTGATACACAGATTGTATTATTGCTTAGTCCTTACACCACTACTTGTCTATAAAAAAATACAAATTACAATATACAATAAAAAATATTGACATAATAGACTTCAGTTGGTAGTCTACTATTGTTTTTCCTAAGAATTAGCTGGAAATCATTGGTTCTTTTTTTTAATATTAGTAATATTTTCGATATCTGCACTTTGACATCAGTCATTATAACAGCTCTGGTGGACATATATATATATATATATACTCACTGAGCAAAATTATAAATGCAACACTTTTGTTTTTGTCTCCACTTTTCATGAGCTGAACTCAAAGATCTAAGACTTTTTCTATGTACACAAAAGGCCTATTTCTCTCAAATATTGTTCATAAATCTGTCTAAATCTGTGTTAGTGAGCACTTCTCCTTTGCTGAGATAATCCGTCCACCTTACAGGTGTGGCATATCAAGATGCTGATTAGACAGCATGATTATTGCACAGGTGTTCCTTAGGCTGGCCACAATAAAAGGCCACTCTAATATGTGAAGTTTTACGGTATTGGGGTGATCCGGGGGGATGTCCAAAAACCAGTCAGTATCTGGTGTGACCACCATTTGCCTCACACAGTGCAACACATCTCCTTCGCATAGAGTTGATCAGGTTGTTGATTGTGGCCTGTGGAATGTTGGTCTACTCCTCTTCAATTGGCTGAACCTGGAACACGCTATCATATACGCTGCCAGAGCATCCCAAACATGCTTAATGGGTGACATGCCCGTGAGTATGCTGGCCATGCAAGAACTGGGATGTTTTCAGCTTCCTGTAATTGTGTACAGATCCTTGCAACATGGGGCCATGCCTTATCAAGCTGCAACATGAGGTGATGGTCATGGATGAATGGCACAACAATGGGCCTCAGGATCTCGTCGCGGGATCTCTGTGCATTCAAAATGCCATCAATAAAATACACCTGTGTTCGTTGTCCTTAACATACGCGTGTCCACACCATAGCCCCATTGCCACCATGGACCACTTGATCCGCAACGTTGACATCAGCAAACCGCTCCCCCACACGACACCATACATGCTGTCTGCCATCTGCCCTGTACAGTGAAAAACGGGATTCATCCGTGAAGAGAACACCTCTCCAAATTGCCAGACGCCATCAAATGTGAGCATTTGCCTACTCAAGTCGGTTACGAAGACGAACTGCAGCCAGGTCGAGACCCCAATGAGGACGACGAGCATGCAGATGAGCTTCCCTGAGACGGTTTCTGACAGTTTGTGCAGAAATTCTTTTGTTATGCAAACCGATTGTTGCAACAGCTGTCCAGGTGGCTGGTCTCAGACAATCTTGAAGGTAAAGATGCTGGATGCGGACGTCCTGGGCTGGTGTGGTTACACATGGTCTGCAGTTGTGAGGCCAGTTGGATGTACTGCCAAATTTTCTGAAACGCCTTTGGAGAAGGCTTATGGTAGAGAAATGAATATTCAATTCACGGGCAACAGCTCTGGTGGACATTCCTGCAATCAGCATGCCAATTGAACGCTCCCTCAAAACTTGCAACATCTGTGGCATTGTGCTGTGTGATAAAACTGCACATTTTAGAGTGGCCTTTTATTGTAGCCAGCCTAAGGCACACTTGTGCAAAATTCATGCTGTCTAACCAGCATCTTCATATGCCACACCTGTGAGGTGGATGGATTATCTCGGCAAAGAAGTGCTCACTATTACAGATTTAGACAGATTTGTGAACAATATTTGAGAGAAATAGGCCTTTTGTGTACATAGAAAAAGTCTTAGATCTTTGAGTCCAGCTTATGAAAAATGGGGGCAAAAGCAAAAGTGTTGCGTTTATAATTTTGTTGTATATATACTGATCAGCCACAACATTAAAGGGACACTATAGTCACCAGAACAACTACAGCTTATTGAATTTGTTCTGGTGAGTAGAATCATTACCTTCAGGCTTTTTGCAGTAAACACTGTCTTTTCAGAGAAAATGCAGTGTTTACATTACAGCCTAGTGATAACTTCCCTGGCCACTCCTTAGATATCTGTTAGAGTTCCTTCCTGGGTCATGGCTGCCTAAAATGCATCCAAACATTCAGTGTCTCGTCCCTCTGCATGCAGACACTGAACTTTCCTCATAGAGATTCATTGATTCAATTCATCTCTATGAGGAGATGCTGATTGGCCAGGGCTGTGTTTGAATTGTACTGGCTCTGCCCCTGATCTGCCTCTTTGTCAGTCTTAGCCAATCCTATGGGGAAGCATTGTGATTGGATCAGGCTACCACTTCTGATGATGTCAACAGGCAGTGGGCAGGTCTAAAGAAAACAGGGACTAAGTAAGCAGCTCCAGAATTGAATAAAAGTATTTTTAGGGAGGCATGAGGGGGCCAGGGTGGCTACGTGGTGGTTTTAACCCTATAGGGTCAGGAATACATGTTTGTGTTCCTGACCCTATAGTACTCCTTTAAAACCTCTGAAGTGAAGTAAATAACATTAATTAAATCATTACAATGGCACCTGTCAAGGGGTGAACAGTCAGTTCTTGACCTTTTGTGTATTGGAAGCAGGAACAATGGGCAAGTGAAAAGATCTGAGTGACTTTGACAGGGGCAAATAGTGATGGTTAGATGATTGGGTCAGAGCATGTCCAAAAGTAGTGCAAGGAAAGACTGTCAGTGAACTAGCATCAGGGTCATGGGCGCCCAAAGCTCACTGATGCATGTGAGGAATGAAGGCTAGTTTGTTTGGCCTGATCACACAGAAGAGCTACTCTTACTGAAAAACGTAATGCTATCCATGATCGCAAGGTGTCAGAACACCCAGTACATTGGGGCTGTATAGCTTAAGACCAGTCATAGTGCCTATTATGACCCCTGTCCACCACCAAAGTGCATTCAATGGGGATGTAAGTGCCAGTACTACACCATGGAGCAATGGCAGAATGTTACCTGATGTGAGGAATCACATTTTCTTTTAGATCAGGTGGATGGCCCAGTGTGTGTGTGTGTTGTTTACCTGGGTAGGAGATGGCAGTAGGATGTATTATGGGAATAAGTCAGGCGGGTGGAGGCAGTGTTCTGTTCTGGTCAATGTTCTGCTGGGAAACCTTGGATGCTTGCATTCATTTGCATGTTACTTTGACATGTACCACTTACCTAGAGATGGTTGCAGATGACATACACCTCCTAATGGCAATGGTGTTCTCTGATGGCAGTGGACTCTTTCA